CGAAACTGGTACCGTTATGTACTGTATCTTTGGTATTTTAATTAGGAGCATTATATTTATTGTCTATTATATACTTTTTCTCCTTTTTTTCAGCTCTACCTTGAGATTCTACCTTGTGTGGTCATTTGAGTTGAAATATGGTTTTAATTTAGTAAGCTTTCATTATTTGAAGTTTACTTTATTGATCATTATTCAACAGTTTAGAGAAAACAAAACACATGCAACACATTAACTGTAAGCATAACTTTGTTTACGAACATTAATATTACAATTGTTTAACATTATATAGCATATCTACCAATGAAATAAAATAGCAAAATGGGTTTTTATGGTTAGTTATCATATTATTGCTTTTGTGTTATTGCATTTCTCATAGTATGATAGTCATACTAATCAATTACATTATAATTTTTTTATAATTATGGTATTAATGTTATTGTAGTTGTTTACTTTTACAAAGTTGTTATTCTGTTTGCAAGTCACCTAACTATGCAAACCTTGCCTATTTAATTAATGATTTGTTATACTCCATACAGGTGTATTATTTATATATGTTACAATTATACACAATAATGATGCCCACAAAGTATTTTAATACCACAGACAATATTTTATTTTTGTAGATTTAATGGATCCTTGCTAGTTTTAATAATATATATATATATATATATATATATATATATATATATATATATATATATATATATATATATATATATATATATATATATATATATATATATATATATATATATATATATATGTATATATATATATATATATATATATATATATATATTAAATATGCAACCCCATTTGAGCCGCTTTTTTGAAGGCTTTGCAAATAACTTATTTATCAAACAAATGGGGTAGGTGCTTTGTATTTTATCTTCATCCCCCCCCCCCGTCTTTTCGTGGGGAGGGGGCAGTAAAATCCGCAACCAACTTTTTTGACTAACCTCTTTAAAAAGCTAAACCCGCCCCTGATTTTAAGAATGATAAATATAAAGCAATAAAAAGAATAAAAACAACAAAATTTTTGAGAAACTTTCATTTCTTTACCAGCCCTATTCTGTGTTAATATATTTTTAATCAAGTTCAATTTGAAACTTTTTTTTTTTTTTAATAAAGTTGAAAACTTTATCTTTCAAAAATGTTTTTTTATAACTTTGTATTTATTACTGGGATAAATATATACAATCAAGGCCGGCGTGATAGGGGTGTGTGGGGAAGGGGGTGTGACACCCTCCCCCCTCCATCAATGATTTTTAGTCGGCAAACTGGACCCTTAGTCGGCAAATCGGACCTTTTTAGACTAGTTAGTCGGCAAATGTCGACCCTTTCGATATAGGTTAGACAGTCGGCAAATGTCGTAATGGCAGTCGGCAAATTTTGGAAAACGAGGACCTTTTTTTTTTTTTTTATTTATATTTAGTCGGCAAAAGTTGTAATAGCACCCTCCACGTGACACCTACTCGCGCCGGCCCTGTATACAATTATAATATATTAAGTAATTATCACAAAGTATATACTTTTCGATAAATACTTTACTTAATAATGTTTATTCTTAAAAAAAACAAGAGTATGTTAGCTATTATCATACAAAAAAACATTTTGCTATTTAGATGAACACAATATTGAAGCCATCTTTAAGTTACATTTCAAAAACCTCTGTAAAATCATGGTTGAACAAACTCTACTTGCTGATGCGTTTCGCAAAGTAATTATGGTATGAATCAAAAATCAGAGATACTTTTCTCAAGGTCAAAATATACAAGTCATTTTCATGACTGGGGTTGTTACTTTTTAAAGGTACTTAAGTAAAAAGTAAAAGTACTGGGACCAAATATAACTAAGTAAAAGTAAAAAAGTAAAATACATTAAAAATACTTTCCATTACAAAGTAAAAAGTACATTTATAAATTAAAAAAAATTCTTCCACAGAACTTGAATTAATAGCATCATTAAAGATTACCATTAGTTGTTAATATTTATTTTCCAGAAATTCCAGGCCACCGTTTTTTTATGTTCATTATCATTTATCCATGCCGTTTTAAATACTGGGTGAATAGCTGCTGCAGCTACTAATTCTGGGCTCATTATGCAATGACTTAGTTGTCAACTTCGTAATCAATGCTAGTAACCAACTAGCATTGGTTACTAGCTCCCTTTTCTACTATAAGTCTGTTTATGGGTTCCATTGATATGTAAAATGAATTCTTGTTTGATTCTGAGCAATAAACTTTAGTTCAAATGAGTCAATATTTAATAATACAGATGCTAACACATCATAGGTGTGGCATCCTTTTACATGTATTGCTGTTCTTCTTTTCAAAATAGACTCATCAATCCAGTGAACTATAATTCCAATGTAAGAATGATTATGAGCTGAACAACAATCTGTTTTAGTTACAACATAACTCTGTTTCTGCAAGAGCAGGACCGACGACACCGGGTGGGCCAGGGATTACGTGCCCCCACACTCCTTTTCTGAAGGCCTTTTTTTTTTTTTTTTTTAAATCTTGATATATAGGATTTTTTTCACAAATTAATGATTGTGCCCCCCTCCCCCTACTTCAAAACCCGTATTGTCAACCCTATCTTTAGGGTCGACAATACGGGTTTTGATTTTGTTGCATAGCCTGATATTTTCCTCCAACTTGCGTAATGACTATTTTTCAACAAATAAGTGTTTAATTTGGAGCCAGAGATGCTATAAACTTTTTAAAACCTAATTTTTCAGTTGTGTTAAATGGCTGTAGATCTGTAATTATAAAATCAACAACAATTCATCTAGTGTTTCCTGTGGGATAACTTTATCTGCTTTGCTAAAAAAAAACAATTGTTTAATGTAAGCTGAAATTTAACTGGTTGAATCTCATCAAAGTCAATTATTCTTTTTCTGCTTGCAATAGGTCTATCATATTCTTTAACCTTCATTGGATAAATTATCTATAAAAATAAAAATATTATAACATGAATTAAGTATAGTCAACTGAATCATGCAATAATTTGTTAAAATATAAACCAATAATTAAAATAAATAAAAATAAATATTTAAACAATTAAAATCAAGATAATAGCTGATGGGTCCCACTTAAAAAGAATTATAAATATTCTCTCCTGATCAGATCATTGCATTCCAAAACAAAAGCCTAAATAAATATTGTTATGCTTTATAAAAAAAGGTGAATAAGTTATCTTAAAAAAATTCCACTTCATGCAACTTACTAAAGAAATTATTAACTTACTTACCACAGTAAAATTACTCATGTCCTACTAAAGAATCGAAATCATCATAAAAAAAGAAAAATGACAAAACCTAAAAAAAATGTTAGTGCAACTTTAGTGAAGTAAAGTTTAAGAATTTATAAGGCGGTGATCATATGAATTGAGAATTTAAAAGTTAATTTTTTATTAAAAATTATTTAATTGACAAATTAAATTATTCACACACATGCACACAAACACATATATATAAACTTAACCTCAACATGTTTTCTGAGATTGGATGGAGAATAACTATATGCCGAGACCTCTTTAGGTTTTTGGCAAACAAATAAACTTACATTTTGTATCACTAACATTTACAAATTTGAAAATTGCGTTTAAATGCGGCCACAGAAATACAAAATTTTTAAAAAATCTTGGTATGTTAAAAAAGAAAATACAGCTCTTAAATTATGTAAAGTGCTTATAAGACCCTACCTTAAATATGCAGTCATTTATCGGGTTCCTTGTTTAAAAATTGATGCTTATTTATTCTAATTTATTTAATGTCTTTGCCGTTAAATAAAATTTACAATAAGAAAGGTCGTAAGTATATAACAAATAATAAATTGCCGGAGCCTAAAGAAGATGTTTATTGTCTTATCGCTGAGCCCCGTTTAAATTGTCGCCGTCAGTTTATGCAACAAGTTGAAAATTAAAAAGTTAAATATTTACTATTTGAAAATTAGACAGCAAAACAATATATTTAAAGTAGTAAATTATATAATAAGATTCTTGGTGGAATGAAAGCTCAGGAAAATTAGGTGTTCGACAAATATCTTGGAGAACTAATTAGCTATGTTGATTTAGGTGATCTTTGTGTTAACATGCAAGATTAAAACAAGTAGACAAACTTGCTAGCAAGTTTGCAAACTTGTGTCTCGTGTATTAGCTTTTTTTAATTAAAAGTACTGTAAATTGTATTGTATTAAAAACTTTTAATACTGCTATGCTATTAAATCACTGCAACTACTTTCTTTATTTCGAAATACTGAAATAATTTTAGAAAACTCTGTTGGCTTTAAAGAAGCCGCAGTTACTTGTAAAAGAGCACAAAAAATTTTTCAAAATGATTGAAAGAGAATGCGTTAATGGCAATGTTGATGTGTCTTACCGTACTGATAATTTATTTGCTGATGATTATTGAGTACTTTAATCTACTCAATGGTTTACTTTACATAATTTGAACACTAAGAAAAAACTACTATGCGAGTTTCAATAATATATTAAATAGTACACTGTAAAAAATGTCACGCTAAATTGTCTAATAAAACTCCCATGTCACGAAGCCCAATTTTTCACGCGACATAAAGAAACAGTTGTCATGCGACTTTCAGATTTTACGTTTGGTGTGACATTTATAATTATTGTTGTCACGCAACTTTTTAAAATCAAGTATGGCGTGACATTTAACTTTTTATTTGTCACGGGACATCTAAAACGCTATCGTGTCGCATGTCACCAAGCCCGATTTTTCACGCCACGTTTAAAATCAAATGTGGCGTTTAAAATCAAATGTGGCGTGAAAAATTCGATCCTGGTGACATGCGACATGATGGTGATTTAGATCTCCTGTGACAAATAAAAATTTTACAAGTCATGCCATAATTAAACATAATAAATAAGAAAACCTGAGAAACAATAAAAATTATATTTTATTTATTTTAATAAAAGCCATCAAGCACAATTGACAAATATATTTGCTTATATTTAAGTAAATAAGTTGTTCATAGTTCAGAAGTCAATGTAAAATGTCAATATAACACGGCAACATTTTTAACAAGATTTTACATTTTTTGAGCCAAAGCTTATTCGTGCAATCAAATGGAAGTTGCAAGACATAATTCTGCAGTAGCCCTAAAACTCCTCCAAACGACCTTGGGTACGATAGGTCCATTATATAATAATATGCCAGAAGTTGAAGGACGTGTAGTGCATCGTTATGGCGTTGTCCGATTGCAATAATATTTCCTTTGTCGACAAGTCTTACATTTTCGCCTAAGATGAGAAGAGGCCCAGATTAAAAACTTATATCTTCAGTCTAAATATTAAATAATAATAATAATAATGTTCTCAAATTTTTTATATATCTTAATTAATATTAAAAAAAATATAATAATAATAAAAGAAAAAAATTAAACAATTTTTCGTTAAACTTACACCAGCAATAACAACTGGGCACAGCACCCCTCTTCTGGTAGTGTTGTTGTGAAATTTAATTAGGGCAGATACAATAGGCATACCAAGATACAATTTCTCAACGACTTGCATTAGCTTATCTAGCGCACTTTCTTTTGTTATAATGTTCATTCTTTCGAACTCGTCCATGATCTAAAAAAATTTGTAGCCTATATAACAATTGACAATATATAACAATATAGTAAATTTACCAATAGTATAGGTATTGTTTTCTTACAATCTCGAGATAGAACAGGTGATCTTTGTGCTCTAAATATGGCAGAGAACAGCGCATATTCCTAACTAAACAACGGATGTGTTCAATATCTGGAACTCTTTGTACCAAAGCACACTAACAAAAATATAGCAACAACTCTTGTAACTAAATTGTTACTGTAATTATTAAAAATATAAAATGCATTTCTATTAGTATAAAATATATTGATAAAAAAGCTTATGAGTATTACTTGCATACCATCATCAAATGAGGCATCGTTCATTCCAGCAATGTTAAGCTTTCTGTTTGCATTCATAGACTTAGCCAAACTTTTTATTTTTCGCTCACGTCGCTTACGAATAACATTCGAAACACGTTTTACAACACTACTCTGAAAAACAAAATGTAAAACTAATAATATATCTTGTATAACACATGAATGTAACATGTATAATGAATTTTACTTCAAGAATTTTTAAATCGAGATCTACATCTTGACATAGATCTAGGTGTTGGATTTAAATTTACCCTATTTAGGATAATGAAAGTAAATTATGTTCTGCTCAACTAAACATTTTAAAGAATTTATAGTGAGCCATTGGTTTTATTAATTTTTTTTTGTGTGAAACATTTTAAAATTAAACATTAAATAATAATTCAAACTTACTGCACCCTCTTCTCCAAAAGTACAGTTTGGATACGACTGTTTCAAAAGTAAAGTAACATTACGATAAAACTTCTTTCTAATGGAAGGGGTTCCATCAGGAAAACACCCTTGGAGATGATGTGCCAATTCAGTACCAATATCTTTTAAGGTATGCTTGCGACAAGGCACCAAACCATTTAAATAATTGGTGCTATCTATCGAAAAAATAGGTAACTAATTTTTTAGAAAAAAATATACATATATTATATATTCTATTGATTTAAATAAAACTTTAGCAAGCATATAAATAAAAAAATTAACTGGGCTACAGACTATTTTTTAGAAAATAATATTTAATATATAAAATATATTCTTCTGCAAAATAAGGCACAAGGTAGATAAAGGTACAAACTCTATGAAATGGAGGTATTGACACAGAGTTGCACAGAGTTAGGTATAAGCCACAAAATAAAACAAAAATCTACTTGATATCATAATTATTGGCAATCTTAACAATTTTTAATGAGTGCCTTTCAAAAATAAAATTAGAAAGTTCCACATACTTTGAAACTTTCACATAGTTATTTAGTTATTGATATACTTTTTATAGTTTTGAAAAATATAAAGAAATAAAAATTAAGCTAATAAAATTGATAGAATCAACTTTCAGCCTTTCTTTCTTAAAACACATATATCTCTGAAATTTATGTATATATAATATCTAGGAATGTTGACTCAGTATCTTTTCCTAATCTTGTGCCTCAAATAATTATTTTTATATGAAACAATTATTGTAACTAAGCAAGTAGAAGACAATGTTTAGATCTAGGTACAACTAATATTGTGCTATCTAAAGTATATTTTGTCAATGGCCACGGAATTTGGAGAGTTTCTAAAGTAATTGATTGGAACATTACTACTTTGGACTGAAAAAGCAAGCTTGTGAGGTATATAGCTCTCAATTTTCATGACATACTTTTACACCATTAGGTTGAAGATCGGTGATCTCATACAGTTGATAAGAATCATTAACTGTTGAAATAATATCACTAACTTGGTAGACAAGTGATCCAATCACAATTTTATTTTTTTAAATTGATGTGTTTTAGCCATAAAAGGGTAAGCTATAAGTTGGCCATTATCATCAAGGAAGTTTGAAATCGTATTCCAACGAAGATGCTTGCAAACTGGTTTAGCAATGTTTTTAAAGAAGCACCAGCGTACACTCTTTATTTTATTGTGCTTAGCTTCAAAGGTCATACAGAATTGACATACAGACATACATATGGTCATACAGACATCTGTCCACTATCGCCAGAAACCATTGTAAAAAGGTTTTGTCTGACGCCAAAGCTCGCTATTCCCAGGTCATTAAATCTCGTATCTCATCACAAAAATTAGGCTCTCGAGACTTCTGGAGAATCTTTAACAGTATCAATAATAAGGGCAAATCTGTTATTCCTTCTCTCTTGTATGGTTAAGACTTTGTCACCTCACCTAAAGACAAAGCTGAATTGTTTGCTAAGAACTTTTCATCAATATCATCTCTTGATTCCACTAGTTGCGTTTTACCTGACATAGCCGTCAAACAGGTTGATCCCTTGCTTGACATTCGCATCACTTCAGCTTCTGTATCTAAAGTAATTTCCTGCTTAGACTCTTCAACAGCTTGTGGTCCTGACAATATTCCTGCTGTAGTCTTGCAGAGGTGTTCTCCGGAGCTTTCATCCATACTTTCTAAACTATTTAACAAGTGCTTATCAGAGTCTTGTTTTCCATCATGCTGGAAAGCAGCATCTGTTATCCCTATTTTCAAAAATTCCGGAGAGCGATATGATTCATAACTACCGTCCCATTAGTCTTCTTCCTGTCATAAGCAAGGTTTTTGAATCTTTAATCAACAAACACTTAATCTCTCATCTTGAATCAAATAACTTACTTTCTGATCATCAATATGGATTTCGGTCTTCTCGTTCTACAGCTGATGTGCTAACAGTAATAACCGATAGGTTTTACCGTGCATTAGATAGAGGTGGAGAGGTTAAGGCTATCGCACTTGACATTTCTAAAGCTTTTGATAAAGTTTGGCATGCTGGTCTTCTCCATAAGCTTTCTTCTTATGGTGTAGCTGGTAACGTCTTTAAGATTATTGAGTCCTTTCTTTCCAATCGTAGTATAAAAGTTGTCCTCGATGGACAACACTCTTCTTCACATCCTGTAACTTCAGGGGTTCCTCAAGGTTCAATCCTTGGCCCTATACTCTTTTTAATTTACATTAACGATCTTCCAGATATTCTCACATCTAAGGTGGCATTATTCGCTGACGACACTACCATTTACTCTTGTCATGATAAGAAGCCTACACTCTCTGATTGCTTGGAGGGGGTATCTGAGCTTGAAAAGGATCTCACTTCTGCTACAGCATGGGGCTCACAGTGGCTGGTGAACTTTAATTCAGATAAAACTCAATTTTATTCGGCCAATCGTTATCGTAATAATTTAGATCTTCCTATATTTATGAATGGTAATGTACTAGATGAGTCATCTACCATTCATCTTCTAGGATTAACTCTTACTTCTGATCTTTCTTTTAAACCGTATATCAAATCCATTGCAAAATTAGCATCTGCTAAGGTTGCATCTCTTTATCGAGCTCGACACTTTCTTACTCCAGATTCTATTCCCTATCTCTATAAATCTCAAATCCGTCCCTGTATGGAATACTGTTGCCACATCTGGGGCGGATCTTCTAATGATGCTCTTTCTCTTTTAGACAAGGTGCAAAAAGAATTGTAAACATAGTTGGACCTGCTCTGGCAGCCAATCTCCAACCTTTGTCACATCGTCGTAATGTTGCTTCTCTTTCTCTTTTCTACAAATACTATAATGGGCACTGCTCTAAAGAGCTAGCGTCCCTTGTGCCATCTACTAAAATTCATTCTCAGGTTACTCGCCATTCAATTAAGTCTCATCCTTTTTCTGTGACTGTTCCTAAGTGCTTCAAAAACTCTTATTCTTCTAGTTTTTTTCCTCGAACATCAGTTCTTTGGAATTCGCTTCCTTCACCTCGCTTTCCTGATTCATATAATTTGCAATCTTTTAAGTCATCAGTCAATCGTTATCTTGCTCTACAGATTTAGTCTTTTCTCTTCCAGTAACTTCCAACTCTTATAGTGGTTGCTTGCAGCCTTGTTGGAAGTAAAGATGTTAAAAAAAAAAAAAAAAAAAAAAAAAATGTATCTCCTGAATATACAACAAATTTTAAAAATAGTTTTACATAACCAATCGTTGAGTTAAAAGTAACACCATTATTCAAGAGATTACAGGAAGTAATAAAATCTTCTAAGTACTGAAAACAAGCCCCTTTTTTATTAAACTTAAATAACTTTACAGGCACAACAGCAAGTGGAAAAACTGATGTTAACGTTGAGTGCATATAGGATGGCAATGAATGAAATTGAACATAGAAAATAGTTAGTTTATGAAGTTTTCTATGTTTACCAATAGGGTTTGCTAGTTCTATGTCATCACAATGCAAGCTAAGAGAAAATTTAAGTGGCTTGTGGGTGGAGAAATCTGTTCGATAATTTGTTTCAGCCTCTTTCCTACATGAAAGCTGTACAAACTCATCAATCTGCAACAAGAAATTAATAATGTCAAATAGTGAAAAATAGTAACCTTTTCCACCTTCAAACACAACTTCATTTATTTTTAAAATGTTAAATAAATTATTTAACAATTTTTCTCTTTGATATTTGTCACTAAGAATATCCACTCTGGCAAAATACTTGTCAAAAGTAGAAAAATGTTCTTCTTTTATAAACTTTCGAATATCAAGTAGCATATTTGCTGAAATACTAAATATTGTGTTGATAGTTGTTGAAGGCACTCTCAACTGACCGCATAGTTTAATTGCTAATGTTGTTTGAGAGTCTATTTTGATCTTAGGAAAAGGTAAAACTGGTTTTTCATTTTTTTTTTTGCAAGTGTGCCTTGATACTCCTCTTGATGATTTAAATGAGGCATTACAAATTTTACAAATAATTTTACATATTGAACTTAAACCTAAATGTCTGTCCATACGTGCATTATTAACAGACATAAATCCACAGCAACAAACCTTAACTCCAATCTCTAGAGAAAGTGGAGACTGGACAGTAGCATGGACATTCTTACTTTGTGGATGCAAAATAAACGATTGTGGTGAGCCTTTACTTGTACCAGGAGAATTGCCTGAACTTTCTAGACTATAAATTGGAACAGAATTCAACATTTGAAGAAATGACGGTTCGTATGTAATTATTCTTTGGAATGATGTTTCTGAAAAACATGAATTAGAATCATCATATATTTAACATAAGATAAGCATAAGGAAACATACAATTACTTTAGAATAAAATTTTAAAATAATAAGAAAAACCTGAATTCTAAAGTTTAGACTAATTTATATTAAATTTTTACCATTAACCCTGACAACAATTTCACATGGATTAGGAAGTGCAACTATCATTTCATCTTCTAAAACCATGTCAGAAAACATCAAATCAAAGTCATCTGGTAATAGATTAATCTTTGAGGACACTACAGCAAAATATTATTTTTGTATATTTTATGCAAAAATTGAGTAAAACTATGAGAATTCTACTATAAACTAAGTTTAACTTCACAACATTAGATAGCATTATCATTAGAATACAATATTAGTATAAAAATAGTAATTAGATTATCTAATAGATATTATTTTGCAAATTGAACTTTCAACTTATTTTATAATTTTACTTTGATAATACTATTGTCACAAATTTTGAAACCACATACTGAAAGTAAAATTATTACTTTAAAATAAAAAACATGTTTGTAACTGTAACTATGTATACTTAAAGGTATTAGCATACATAAGTGTTGTAATTATTATTGTTGTGTGTTGATGTAATTAGTTTATACAATTTGTGAATAACCTTGTCTGTAAAAACATTTAACAGTAAAAAATTGATTCAATGATTGATTTAAAATGCAGCTGTGTTATCAATTAAGTCATTTCTATCAACTTTAAATGTAAAATTATGCGAATTGTAGAGTTTACTTATTAGTTTTAAATAATCTTATATAAAAATAAAAACCAAATTAAAAATTAAAACTAAACCTGTAACAAAATTATCAGAACAAATTCTAGAATGATTTAAATCAAAATTCAACAATCATATTTTATTGCAATAAACCATTAATTTTTAGTGCAATAAAAGTAAATATTTTAGTGCAACAAAAAACTTCTTTTTGTTGAAAGTTGAAATCCTTGTCGTGATTAGAAATTTTGATTGAAGTGCGAAAAAATTACTTATACAACTTTCAGAACAATTTGAGTAGCCAGAAAAACAACAAAAAAGCAGGACTTAGATGATATCAAAATTCTACCAACAGATATATTGATATGACATAACAATCAATGTGTATTATTTTCGTATTTGTTTGTTTTTTAAACCATCGCCATTATGGTTAAAAACTTTTTTGATTGTTTTTGTTAATTGTCTAATAAGTTCTATTTTTTAAAAAAAGCTAGCGAGGCCAGGTCCGGAACAAAGTCGAAAACAGACACTGACAATGGAAAAGCCTAATAAAGTTTTGTTTAACAATAATTATAAATAATCGATTGGCAATCAATTCCAGCAAATAATAGCAATGTACACAATAACATAGTGTAAAAATAATGATTATCATAGTGTATAATAAAACAAACTTAAAATACTCAATAATGAATTAAGAATAACAATTATAAATTGAGAATAGGTATTCCTAATAAAACATTGAAAATATTTGTCTCAGATCTGTTACTAGGCACTTCAACATCTGAGCGTGTAATATCGATAATCGATAAAACACGGCTAAGGAAAAAAGATCTGAGGTTTTATGCCGACAAAAAAGTTTAAGTTGTATGTTCTTCAATCGTACATCCGATGACTTAAAATACAAAAACTTTTTATTTGTTTATTCCAAAAAGTAGAACCACAGTTTATCAACAGTACCAAAAATATTTTATTGAGATTTTCGTTTTTAGAGATAATTTGAATCAAAAACTAAGGTCATTTTATAACCCAAATATTTTTGAAGGCATTTAGTGTTTTTTTGATTTAATAAAAAAATCAACTATAGCATTATATTAAGCTATATTTTTTTTAGCACAAGTCAATTTTCAAGACTCAACTCGTCAATTTTCAAGACGGAAATTTAGTTTTTAAAACAAGTTTATTATTTTGGAAAACCTATTTTGCATTGCCATTAAATAAAAATTTTTTTAAAAAGTACTGTCACAGATTTATTATGTCAAATGTGGGTTGTTTCCTATTTATTAAAAGTCCATTTACTATAGTTTTTATTGGTATTACATTCTAGTTTTGAATAGTAACGGTCTTGTTTATTGTTACTTTTGTAAATAAACGGAAACGTTGTCGCGATTCTTAAAAACGTTAAGTCGCTAAAAACCTCAAAAGTCATACAAAAAAAATCTTAAATTTTGTGGTTTAAAAGCTGTTAATAATGGTTAATAATATAACGATAAGTTTGTTATTTTTTAACTGATCATGTTTAGCTCTAACTTACGGAGTTTGTTTTGTTTTCATTTTACATTTTTAAAAAAAATGTTGAAGTGACTACTATTACTAACTTATTTTACTGTCATAAGTTATGACAACTTATATTAAGTGCATATATTAACTCGTTGCAAAGAAATATTTACCTTTAAATTTAGGCGTGAACAAATTATCATCTACTACACTGGCATAAATTTTAATAAATAAAAAACTTTAATTATTTTAGACATTATAGTCACGAAAAATTAATTAATGTGATATTTCTTTTTTTCAGTGCGGACACTCATACGTTTTATTTGTCACGCGACATTTAGCACGTGGCGCGAAATTTATTAGTATGCATACTAATAAATTTCGCGCCACGTGCAAAATGTAACGTACTAAATTTTTACAAAGAAATGCTTAAAGTCGCGCGACTTGCTACTTATAGTTATTATATGGCGTGACATTTAAACAGTTATATTCTCCGTGACATTGATAACTGCTTGTTATAAGTAGCAAGTCGCGCGACTTTAAGCATTTCTTTGTAAAAATTTAAAAGTGGCGTGAAAATTAAACATTTTCATGGGACATTTAAGAATTTGGTTTTTACAGTTGTCTCTTAGAATCGGGTATAATCAAAACCGACATAATTGATCATTACCTAATGTTTTTAATTACAGATAATATAAACCTTACCTCTTTGAGGTCCAATGTCCCGGCTGACAGGACATCATGAAATTGTCGTTGCGGTGTAATGTCCCGTGCCACGGGACATTAACTATGTTTTTTGTTTACACAGAAAAAATTATCTATTTAGGCTAACCTGGACAATTTACTAGGTTCAAATGGTAATATTATAGTTTGTTTTTATCTTAGTGAGTAACATTTTTTAATTGTCTAACATTACTTATACTCTTAGAAACTTTTAATAAAAATTAATTTACAAATGGAAAGGAAACGTTATACAACTGGAGAAGTATTGAAAGCATTGGATGAAACAAGTACTGAAAACGACAATGAATACACTTTTAGTGAATCTGAGACTAAATTCTTGGAGATATCAGAGTCAGAGGAAGATATTGAACTAAATAAAATTGATGGTAATGGACCTAATTTGAACATAGAATGGACAAAAGTAGTGCAGATACTCTAGCATTTGAAGCACTGTCATTCACTATAGAAAATGTAGACCCATTAGCATTCAATGAACTTAACACGTGAACTAGATTTTTTTAAGTTATTTTTTACTGAAAAGTTACTTACTGATATTGTAACTAAAACTAATTATGTCAAATCAAAAATTGAAAATAACGATTGGAATTTCATTAAACTGCATGTCAACTTTTGGCTAAACTGCATGTCATTTTTTTCAGCAGTATTCTCTTGATCTCGGTTTCTTTTAATACATTAAATGCTGCATGTATCCTCACCATCAAATCCATCTAATGAATTGAATAGACGTGCAAGAAAAGTGCAATGTGTTATATCAGAAACGAAAAGTTCCTGCTCTAGAAATTTTGTCCCCAGTGGCGGATTGAGGTTTAGTGTCGCGGGGGAGCCAAGTCAATAATTAGGGGCGACCGGGGTTGCCTTCAATAATTTAACCTTATATATATATATATATTTTAATTGTTTTAGGGGGCGCCGTTAGACCGTTCTAGGGGGCGTGGGGGGCAGCTCGCCCCCCCCCCCCCACGCTCTATACTAAATCCGCCACTGTTTGTCCCATCTTGAAACTTTTCTTTTTTTAACAATTGATGAAAGTATTATTGGATTCAAAGGTAGAGTTGTATTTCGCAAGTGCAATCTACAAAAACCCGCAAATTAGGGCATTCGTGTTTTTGACTTATCTAATATAGCCTGTTTCGCTATCTATCGGTTCAAAGAAACTAATATAGTCTGTTTCACTATCTGCCGATAGTGAAACAGGCTATATTAGTTTCTTTGAACCGTATTAAAATAATTGCACTACTGAAAGTTTGGTAAGACCTATGATACAATATACAAGTTAAATCGTGTTGCATTTGTGTGATGAGCTTTTAGAGACTACCCAAGTTAGTGGTTTTTACTTGTTCACTGACAGATTATATACTAGTTTTCCTCTTACACAAGATCTCCTCAAAATAAGCATACAAACTACAGTGATTCGTTTTTTTAAAAGCAAAATTAAAGGGTTAAAAAATAAACTCATTTTTAAGCCTCACTTTTTTGTTTTGGGGGTGATCTAAGTATAATTTAGGAAAGGTAACACGAATCTTAAAAAAGCTTTTTATAAAAAAGTTCCCTAAAACAAAACATTTTTTGATATATTGATCATAGCAGTGGGTAGGATTCCCCACGAAACTTCAATAACTCCTAACTGGAAGAGAGGGCAGTCTGAACTCGTTGTTCTTTTATTAGTTTTTTTTAGTAATACCTATAAAGAGAAATTTTCTTTAGATATTTATGAGTAGGGGTCCCCGGGGGCATGGAGTGTTATCACGAAAAACCCTGATTGGCGCCCCTATTATTTTAAATTTTTCTATATTAGTGAAGAACCTTATTTTTTTAATAACTTATCTTTGGCACCCCTTAAACATCTGCTGCCCGGGACAACTGTCATGCCACTAGTCATGTTAATGATATTGATCATTATTATATTTGTTCAATTTCTAATTTGCTTTTATTATATTATTGTCTTAGATGCTTAAAAGTGTTAATTTATGATTAGCATGTTTAGCGCCCTCTATCACCTTAATATTACATGGTTGGTTGGCCGTAAAATATTTACAATAATGTTCTTTGCTATCAGTGATAGCAAACAACATTATTATAAGCCTTAAACTATTCAACAAAAGTTTATGTATTCGCACAAAAATACCCAATTTTATCCATTTTTAAATATTAAAACCTTAATCAGTTTTATGTTTTTTTATTATGCTTAGTTTTATACATTAATTCTTCCACATACCAATTTTTGTTTTCGAAAAATTTTGCTCAGTGGAACTGCCCTATTGTATACCCGTGTCGGCTAAAGGATTTGCAGAATTTTTTAGATTTGAAAGCGCCGTTATTATACCATTTTAGCAAATTATTGTAATTCTTCAGATTTTCATTTGACCATAAAATATACATTTAGTTATAGTTAATGTTTTGTAACAATTTTTAATATTTATATACATTTATTTTACATAGATTTATATACATTTATTTATTTAACAAATTGGTTTAATCTTGACAACTAGTCTTGTGTTTGCAATTTATACACTCTATGCGTAGGTACGCGTAAATTTATACACTCTATGCGTAGGTACGCGTAAATTTTTACACTCTGGTATGCATAAATAGGTAGGTACGCATAAATTCGACTTTAACGGAATTTTTTCTTATAAAAAAGTCTGAATAGACTTCTGCAAAAACATTTTTTCTTGCTACCGGCCAAATTTCATGAAAATAAGCTCGCCCAGACACCCGACTAACTTACCTAAACTACCCAGCGGGCATTTTGACGTCCAATGGACGTTTATAAGACGTCTCAAGTCTCGTCCGTAAGAGGTCCTTAGCTGGTCTTAATGAAAGACCTGAGGACGTCTATTCCAGACGTCCTAAAGACGTCTTTTCAAGACGTCCTAGGGACGTTTATTGTAGACATATATTTAAAATAAATTATTAATTTTACAAAAACTTAGAAAAATTATTCAAACAAAGTTACACTTTCCAAATTATAAACTAATATATTTTGTAAAGTATAATCGATAGTATATTATAAGTAAAAAGAAAATTACTGAAAAATGCAAAATAAATAAAAAATACAACAGTTGATTGAAGTTAATTAAGCCATCATTGATCAATATCGATATTGGTGGGTTTTCTCTTGAATTGGTCAGAAGAATGCCTAATTAATCTTCTAGTAAGTTGCATGAGATCCATTTTGGTTAAGCTTTTATTTGACTTTGAAGCAGCATCTAATAAAA